GTGGTTCTATCTACATGATAAAAGTATTTTTGGGTCTTTTCTCTGAAGCCCATTAATATTTGAATTGGGGAAGTTTGAATTCCATGGACATCTAGGTGTCAGTAGAGCAAACATCCTTGGCCTACAAAGTGTGGACTCATCACTTCAGCATATTTCTGCCAGGAAAGCTCCTTCTGCAACATTCTTAATAGGGGAAACCTCAAACTTATTTTTTCAAATTTAAACCTCAACTTCTGTGTTGTCACAATTTCCATTTGGTAATGCACAAGTACATTAAATAATTCCTCTTCCTTTTGTCCCCAAATGGAGGACTGTGGACTCATTTTCAAGTACTTTACCTCATCTGGATTTTTTAGGTATTCTCAAATGTTCAAATGACTCTGACAATTCACAAAGAAAATCTTCAGTACATGGGGTTTTTAAGTTCTTAATTCGGGTCCACAGGAAAATTTAAGAGAGTCCATAAACTTGGATGGGAAAAATTTTCATCTTTCTTTTGACTGATCTCTAACTGAAATTTAACATTTACTTCAATTATTTAAAACATTCTGAGCAAGAGTTCATAGGTTTCACCAGACTGCCAAAGGGGTGTATGATAAAAAGAAAGGTAAGAATCTCTACCTTAGTAGATGCTCTTGGCCTAACTCTCACTTATACTTTTCTACAGTCCCTCAATTCTCTTATCTTGATTGTCATGTAGTCTGTAACACTTCCTCACGAGAGGCATGTTTTATCCCACATATCAGTAATTGCTTGTGAATATCAACTTCCACAAACTGACAATATTTTTCACATATCATTCTTATATCCTCTAGAAATATTGCTCTATCATGCCAAAATGTACCCATTCACTAAATAATCTGATCAATCCCAATAATGAAAATTAAAAACAGTAATAACAGTGTCAACATGTTACGAGCAAATTTTGACAATTATAAAACAACCAACACTCTCAAAGATCAGAACTAAAATTCTTATATTGAAAATGCTTAAAATATGCTTTGAACAGTAATGCAGGAAATGTTTCTTAAAAGACAAACAAAGTGGTGGAGCCAAGATGGTGGAATAAAAGCAGTTCCTTGCTTGAGCTCTCTCCCACCTCCTCCAAATACCTGTAAAAAATGGCTCTAAACAAATTCTAGAGCAGCAGAAGCCACAAAAAGACAGAATGAATCACATTTCTGGCCGAAGACAACCTGGATGGTTAATTAGAAAGGTCTGTTGTGCAGGGCAAGGAGAGGAGCACAGTTCAGTGTGAGTCATGCAGGCAAACACAGGACCTCAGCAAAACTGGAGCAGGTCTCAGGATTGAATCAAGGGGAGATGTGGCAGTTTCCAGACTTCTCAACTTACAAACACCAAAGACAACTTAGAAGGTCAGTAGGAAAGGTCTGTCGGACCTTAGTGGGAGAGGAGCTTGATCTGGCCCCAATCCCAGCACAGTCCCAGGGCGGCACCTACTTCCGGGGCTCTCAACCCACAGACAGAGTGAGGATTGAGTGGCTGATCAGAAGGGGATTACAGGGATCTCTTTGCTGGTGTTGAGGCAGGATTCTCTTGCTTTGCACATGCTTTGATCTGAGTCACAGTCCTGGGTGGTGGTCCTGGGTAAGAAGGAGCGTTGGCATGGTGGAGCTTGTGGCAGTAGTGCAGAGGGAATCGTCCTCACAGTTCCAAAGCAGAAAAGAGTGCCTATGGTCACTCATAGACTAGAACACAGGCCAGGAAAGGAGTAAACACCTTGCCTTTGATCATACCACCTTGGAAGAACAGAAAATTTATAGGTCCCTAAAAGTATCTCTGAAAACAGCTGCACAAAACCCCTGAGAAGCTTGGAACAGACCCCCCTACTTTAACAAAGAGTTTAATAGTCAAGTAATTGGCTGGGAACATGAGCAACGATAGAAAAAAACTCAGACCATAGAATCTTACTTTGATGACAAAGAAGATCAAAACATAAACCAGAAGAAGACAACAAAGTCAAAGCTCCTACATCCAAAGCCTCCAAGAAAAATATGAATTGGTCCCAGGCCATGGAAGAGCTCAAAAAGGATTCTGAGAAGCAAGTAAGAGAAGTAGAAGAAAAACTGGATAGAGAAATGAGAGAGATACAAGAAAATCATGAAAAACAAGTCAACAGCTTGTTAAAGGAGATCCAAAAAATACTGAAGAAAATAACACCTTAAAAAATAGCCTAACCCAAATGGCAAAAGAGGTCCAAAGAGCCAATGAGGAGAAGAATGCCTTAAAAAACGGAATTGGCCAAGTGGAAAAGGAAGTCCAAAAGCTCACTAAAGAAAATACTTCCTTAAAAATTACAATGGAGCAAATGGAAGCTAATGACTTTATGAGAAATCAAGAAATAATAAAACAAAACCAAAAGAATGAAAAAACCAAAACCAATTTGGAATCCAAAGTTTTAAAAACAAACGTAAAACTTTTTTTTCACATGCAACTGGGAAATAAGATATACAAGCAACGGGGTATAGAAACTATCCAGCCCTATAGGAAAATAGAAGGAGGAGAGGAAAGAAAAGGAAAAGAGATAGAAGGGAGGGCAGGTTAGGGAAAGGGGTATTCAGAATGCACACTGTCTTGGGGTGGCGGGGAGGGGAGAGATGGGGAGAAAATCTGAACTCAAGATCTTGTGGAAGTGAATATTGAAAACTAAAAATTAATTAATTAATTAAAAAAAAAGAAACACATCTTTGAAAATGATCAATATGGGGATTTGTTTTGCATGACTACATATTTTTGGTCAAAGAGGTTATTTTTTTTCTTTTTTTATCCAGTGGTTGGGGGAAGAAGGGAATAAACGCTTGACAATTGTGAAAATGTTTTAATTTTAAAAAAAAGAAACTTTTTGAATAAAAAAATAAGACAAACAAAACAAACTAAAAATTTGGCACATTCCTAAATAGAGAAAAGAAAACAAATTATTCTGGAAAAGCCATAATTTGTAACACCATTACAATAATTAACTCATTTTAAGCCTAAAGAACAATATGATGGTCCCTGTGTCCCACTTGGTTCCTTCATCTTTGGCTTTAAAGAGCTTATTTTAGATGAAAAGTTCTGAGTCCAGTCACAATAATTCAAAGTTCCCAAAGTTAGGCTATCTGTTTATTCTTATCATTACACTTATCTCCAATTAAACCCTGGCTTCATTGTGGTTTTGGCAAAATTCGGCTTATTGGAAACATTTTAGTAAGAAATAGTAAATTTTGTTATAATGTCTGTGGATAACAGACATTGGGGGGGATAGTTAGAGAAAGAATTGTCCTCTTCTTGGTTCCCTCAGCCTGAGTTCTCCACTCAGAAAATACCCATGACTCTTGTCCTCTCCATTCTCTGACCCAGCTCAGTCCTCCCCTTGCTCCTTAAAAAGTGTGCTGGAAATGGCACTCTTGCTCAAACCTCTGGAACCCAGGAACTCAGAAAGTCAACCTCTGGTTCTGAGATAGCTTTTTCCTTCATACTTTTCTATTTCTGTAAAGGGAACAACCAGTTTTTTTTTCTTGTAACCAAATCTTACAACTTAGGAGTAAATTTTCTTTAGCCACCGATGATTTAAAGTGAAGAAAAACAAGGTAGGGGGATGATTTAGAACACTTACACTAGTCCATATAAGAGGTGATAAAGGTCTGAACTGGGTGGCAGCACTGTGAGAGAATAAGACATATATAAGAGAGGTCAAGAAGACTGAAACAACAAGATTTAGCAATGGATTGGCTAGGTGGGATGAAAGTTAGGAGTTAAGGATTCATCAAGGTTGGGGAGCTAGGGAGAATGGTGGTGTCCTTGACAACAAAAGGGAAGTTCAAAGAATCCTCAGAAGAGAGGAGATTTGGGGTAGAAAAATAATCAGCTCTATCTTGGTCTTGTTAAGTTGAAATGGTCACAAGCAAATCTAGTCTGTGATGTTCAAAAGGCAGCTGATAATGTGGGACTGGAGCTCAGTAGACAGATCAGAGCTGGAAATATCAATTTGGAAATCATGTGCAGAGATTATGATAGAACTTACTAGAGCTGCTTAGCTCTCCAAAAGAGATAGCATGAAGAGAAAAGCAAAGAGGACCCAAGACTGAGCCATAAGGGATACCTACAATTAGTGAGCATGACATAATAAAGATCCAATAAAGGAGACTGAGGAATAATTGGACAGATGGGACAAATAGTGGCCAGAAAGCACTTTCAATAATACCTATCCTATAGAGGACATAGTATCTAAGAAAAGAAGTTAATCAACAGTATCAATTCCTGTAGAGTGGTCAAGAAGGATGCATTTATGAAAAGGTCATTAGACATGGAAATTAAGAAATCAATGGTAACTTTATAGAGGGGAGTTTCAATTGAATGATAAAGTTGGAAGCCAGATTGCAAAGGAGCTAAAAGAGAGTAAGGGAAAAGAAAAAGGGGTTACTTAGCACAGATAACTTTCTCAAGGATTTTAGCCTTGAAGTAGAAGAGAGACCATGCTATACAGTGATTAAATATTGATGTCACATTTTAAAATAAGTCACCTCAATGTCACATAAATTTCTTGAGATTATTATCATGAAGTTCCCATTAAGAAAGTGAAAAAAGTAAAAACAGGATTTTGTAAATTCAAGGAAAGGAAGTGATTACACAACACTTATAAATGAACAACTGCCATATTCTGCATTAATAAGCATTTTTTAACAATCATAAAGTTAACAAACCTTATCGTTCTTATTTAGCCATAATGAAGTATCAATTAACTAAGCAAACAGGGTTAAGATTCTGAACCATGACTTCCAAAAGAGATTAGAGAATGTTGTCGAATATGCTGATAATTTACCAGACAACAAAATGACACTAGATTGCCTCCTACTATCTTTATTTTCCAAAGTTCATAACCATATACCTTTTCCAAAAGGAATTAAAAAGACTTTTAAAAATAGTTTAAAATACTCCCATAAAAATGTGTGAAATGATCCAAGCATTGGAGGATTATCTAAAGGAGATATTGGACTTACTTTAAGTTGCTGATCCTAGTTTCTGCAGCTTCTGTTATCTTTTTTGTTTCATCTTTCCACCGGTTGGTTGCTTTCTGTTGAGCTACTAACAAACGTCTCAATTCAACAGTGGAATTACGATTACTATCTTCCAGCTCTCTCAAACGAATTTCATATCCATGCTCCTTTACTGAAAATTCATGCTCCATTGTGCTGATCTAGTGAACAAAATGACTATATTGTTTCTGTTTTCATTTACTCTTCTTATCACTACAGTGATCAACCATTGAGCAAGTGGAGATAATCACTGTGCCACAGATATTTTTCAGTTCATGATCAGTGTGAAATTAAACTATAAAATCTGGTTTAGTTATGAATTTCACAAAATTGATCCAAATATATAAGGTTAAATTGATGAAGTAAAACATTCTTATATATTTTGATCTTTCAATTCAATAAATACTTGTTAAGTGCCTACTATGTATCATGTATGTTAGGGGATAGAAAGATGATTAAGGAGCCATCTAGAGGCATAAATTCTTATAGAGATAATAAGACATGCACAAAGGACTGTCATATAAGCTAGAACATGATCAACGCATAGGAGTGGCGTGGAAAAAGTATTATACAGGAGTTAAATGTGGTAAAGAGAGATTTTTTCTCTCTAGGGTATAAAGAAAGATTTTGTAGAGAAGGTTGCATTTGACCTTAGCTTTGAAGGATAGGTAGAATTACAATGGATAGGAGAACGGATCAGGTAGGTAAAGTGGAAGTTACAGAATATACAAATACACAGAAGTAGGAAAATGGGGGGAAGGGGCCTAGTGAGTACGAATTACAAAAAGTAGACCAGTATGATATATAGTTAAAACCGTGAAGAGGAGTAGTATGAGGTAAGGCTAGAAAGGCTAGGTAGAACTAGATTTAGGAAGCCCTTGAATACTAAGGCATTTGGAGTTTTGTAGGTAATGGGGAGTCACCAAAGTTGGAAGTGACATGGTCAGAACTGTACATTGTGAAAATTACTATGATCTGGACAGAATGGTTACTGTGAATCCTGAAGGCAGAGCTGAGGTAAAAGTCAAGAGTTATACAGTCAAAATGGTAGAAACAGGCAAGATTTGGAATTTGAACAGGAGGCCTGTGGTGGTATGGACAGGTCCAAAATGAGGATGAAATGGGGAGGAACAAGCATGGATTTCATCCAAGGGTGCTAGTATGGCTACCACGGCTTGAGGTTTAAGCCTAGAATGAGGAAACAGGCAAGAAAAGAAGAATTCTGGATAGTTTAAAACTCCTAAATGATGAAGGATGAGCAGGGCTTTTAAAAATCAGTTTGGAGGACCAGCTAGTATGCTGGAGTGTGAGAAAGCAGTGAAGTTCAGTTCCCCCTACCGTGGGTCATTTTTCTAGCCATTGGTTGCAGACCCAAACTATAGGAAGGTACCCAGGGAAGAAGCTATGAAGCAGGGATGGGCTAGAATCTCAAAATTCAGTGCTCAGTGCTCTGAGCTATGCCAGCAATATAGATGTCCAGAAATAGTCAGGGACTCAGAACTAAGTCTAGGCTAGCAATATAACGTATCTCAGAAGGGCCAGGAATGTGGATCCAATACCCAGACCTCAGCGGTATGCCACTGTTACTGAGAAACCCACAGTAGATAGCTGGACAAATGGCCAAAAAAAAAGGACAAAGTTGTTGTGAGGACAGATATGCCCAGGACACAGACACAGAAGTAGATAATGGCTCCAAAATACCTACAGGGAAAGCCTCAAATGGAAAAAAAAAACTTGCCCAAAAAAATCAATAACAATTTCTAGGAAAAATTATGCAAATGTTTATGAATGAGATATATATATATATGTAGTTGGAATGATGGAGAAGGGAGTTGGAGGAGAGATAAAAGACATGGAGGAGAGTCTGGAAGGGAGGATTGAGAGTTTGGTACAAGAGGTATAGGGCTTTACCCAGGTAGAGCACTCTCTGAGTATTGGAAGGGACCAGACAGAGGGTAGTAACTTCATGAGACAAGAAATATTAAAATGGGGTCAGGAGATTAGGAGAATGAAGGAGTGTGTAGGGTGTCTTACAACAGAAATAACTGATACTGGAAAGCATATCAAGGAAAGATAGCTTAAGGATCATTGGACTATTTGAAAGCTATAGCCAAAAGAAGAGACTGAACATCATATTTCAGAAGGTCACAAAATAAAACTGTCCAGGTATTTTAGAACCAGGGAGCAAAGCAAAAATATAGGGAGTCCACCAGTCACTTCCTGAGGGAAGCCCCAAGGAACTCCCAGAAATGTCATGGCCAAAATCCAAAGCTTCTAAGTTGAAGAGACAATACGGCAAGCAGCTGAAGAAAAGGCATTCAAATACCAAGTAGAAACAGGAACACACAAAATTTAGCAACTGAATTTATGAAAGAATGAAAATTACAAAATATAATATCCTGGATGGCGCAAAAATATGAACCAAGAATAACTGAGTGTGGTCCTGTAGAGGGAAAATAGCTCTTTAATGAAGTAGAGGACTTCTAAGCACTCCTGGTGAAGGGACCTGGGGAAGAAATTTTGAACTGTAAACATGGCAGTGGGGAGAAACATAAAAAGGTAAATACAACTGAAAAATCAGAAAGATTTTATAAATATGAAGGGTAGAGGGATGATACAAAAAATCTGAGAACCATTAACGTCAGCTAAGATTGCAGAAGGAGCTGAATAAGGTAGAGGGCGTGGGAGTAATTTTTGTTGTGTTTTAATGATCTTAAAAGAAGAAAGGTAAGGGAGAGGGGAAAAGGAAGAGGAATTAAGGGGAACTTATTTCACAGAATCTGGGGGTGCAAGTAGAAGTCTATACAAAAGTGGAAGGGATGGAGAAAACAAGTCACTTGAACTTCACTTTGAACTGATGCAGATCGAAGCAAGCAGAACAAGTAGAATAACTGACATAACAACAGCACTGCAAAAAATGAGCAATTGTGAAGGACTAAAGAGCTCTGACCAATCCAATGATCAACAACGATTCCTGAGGACCAATAATTTAGAATGCTGACTGCCTCCTGACAGAGAAGCGATGGACTAGGTATGCAGAGTGAAACATACGTCTTTAGAAATGGCCAATGTGGTCATCTGTTTTGCTTGACCATGGGTGTTCGTTGCAGTGGTTTTGTTTTTCCTTTTTAAGGGAGGGAGACAGAGGTAGGAAAGGAGAAAGGAGAGGTGCAAAAGAATGAGTGGCAACCACACTGGAGGGACTTGTTGGATCCCAATTGATTCTTAGAGTCATCAGGTACAGCACCTACTATAAAGTCTTTTTCAAAGTGGTTCTCTCTCAGAGAATGCTATTGAGGAAGAAGTGAGAACAACAGCCTTAGAGTTATCTAATATACTACCTTCATAGCATTGCTTCAATTGCTTTGTCAAAAATGTCAAGCTGCTTCATGCTCAGAAAGTAATTTTTTTATGGAAAGTGAAAGAAATAATATTCAAGGATGCCTGACCTGTTAACTTTCTAAATTATGATCAGTGTTTTATGATGGGGAGAAAGAATAAGAGAGCTTCTAAAATTGTTTGCTACCCTTCTAAATATTCACTGTACTAGAATTTTCACTGGCAGACATAGATCCAAGTAGGTCAAGACAGTACCTTTAATTTGGCTTTTTGTTGAGCCTCCAAAGCAATTTTTCTCAAATCCTCAGTGTCTTTTTGCAACTGTTCATTTTCTTGCTGAAGTTTCAGCCTTTGTTCGCTGACAGTGCCACAGTTCTCTCTTTCAGACTCTAAAACACTCTGAAGCTTTTGAATCCTTTCCTGGCTACGTGACATCTCTTCTTCAGAACTGATAGAAAACAAAACATCCCACTTAACGATCTGCTATAAAATTCAAGGAGTAAGCCCACATTTTACAGTGTTTTATTTTCCCTTTCTGGAATCATTTAATTACAATTCACAATTATACTCTGTGTTTTAAAGAGTTTGCTATAGTAGGTGTGTTCCATGTAAAACAGAAGAAAAGCAGCTAAATTAAATTACCCACTCATCTTTAAAAACCAGTTTGCAATCTTTCAAATTCTGTATGTTAAATTTAAGAGAATGGATATACTATACATGAAATTCACTGGGCAAGGAGGATTAAATGGGGAGAAATCCTAGGTGATAGTACATGGGGGAGGTTCAACACAGCAATACTCAAAACTACTTTATCACTGAATTCAGTTATAGGAAAATATGCTAGCTGATCACATTAATATATTATAGTGAGGAATAAACTTTTGCATTGTCCCCATGGGGTTTGCCTGGGTTTTTATAAAATGTTAATAGTGTAATTATAAATTCATTTAGGTTTCTTGGATTTTGGAAAAAGTTTTAATGGGCAGGAGAATCCATTAAAATATAAGAGTAATGTGCAAGAGCTCCTCTCCTCTAAATACACTAAGAACTACATAAAAATTTCCCTTTTTATTGCCATATTCTAATTTCCACATAATACAATCACTATAACATTCCAGAATTGTTTTTTACCAGCCCTGGTTACATTGTGAACCACAATTAATGCTGTTAAACGGAAACAGACTTTAAATGGAGCCTATGATTCTGCTGCTTTGGCAATAAGAGTACCCATGGATAGAAATGGGAGGGTGAGCATGTGGTATGCAGATGACAGCTGAGAATATGATGACCTCAGAGAGCTACAGGTTCAAAGTTACTTGCAACAAAAGAAATTCATATGGAGAATGAGAGTTCTTGAAAATTCACCAACATCAGTTCCATATAAGTGAAGTGCTAGGACAATAATGGGGAGTAAGAAAGCCTAAGGATAGGCAAAAGGGTTCTACTGGTTTTACAGTGTGCCACTTGTATCCCTAAATTTGTTCTTAGAGATTCCCTATGGGCTTCTGCCAGGTCGCAATGAGACTTTTCCAAGGCATAAATCTAGGGATCTGCTAATTCTAAACTATAAACTACTTGGAGAAGATCTTAAATGAACCATTGGCAGAAGTGTGGAGGACTTTATGTGCAAATCTAAAAGAACAACAGCTCAACCTTGGGATGTAGGAGGGCTGATTTCATTCTCTCTTATTCTGTGCCTTGTTCCTGCCAAGCCACATACCATGTTTAAAATAATCTTAAACTAATTCTTCTGTGTTTAGACAAGCTACTGCTGAATAAGTAGAATTACTGCTGTTCCATATTTCTAAAACCATGTTTCCCATCTTTCAGTAGGAGGGAAAAAACTAAAAGCATTTTAATCAATGTGTCTGACTTGCTGCTTTTACAAAGGCCTTCTTGTTTGATATGTATGGATTTCAGTATTTTTTGTTATATAGTCCTTTCACTGGAATATCTTTTAATAGTTTTAATATATACTAGCAAAACCTGTAGCTTCAGCAAATAAAGATAACAGAACTGTAAGGAGTATCAATACATAGTTTAAAATTGGGTCTCAGGGCAGCCTAAGTGGCACAGTGGATACAGCACCGACCTTGGATTCAGGAGGACCTGAGTTCAAATCCGGCCTCAGACACATAACACTTACTAGCTGTGAGACTCCGGGCAAGTCACTTAACCACACTGCCTTCCCCTACCCCCCACCCCAAATTGGGTCTTTTCACAAACTTTGAATAGATTATTGTTTTAAATGATCTTAAAATGAGTTTTTGCTCTTAACAGGAAGATAATAAGGATTTCTATGTTACTTTTAAAATGTATAATCTGAAAAAAAACCCATGATTTTTTAGCTTGAATATAATAAAAGTCTACTCTACCCCAAAAACCTGTGATCTGCATACAAATCTAAATCTATTTTAGAAAAATTATTTAACTATGCCCACAGGATTGACAAGGATACTTCAGTATACACAAAAAGTGGACCAGATTTGGAATATCATCATTATACAGACCCCATGATCTGTGAGAAACCTCTATAAGCCAATACTGGTAGATAGCTGATCTGCCCTTTAGAGTCTTTCTTGAACTTCCTGGGTCCCTGAGAGGTCATAAAGTCAGAATGGGAAAGAGACAAGACTTGAACCTGGAGAGATCTTCCTAACTCCGAGGCTGACATCCTTTGTACGATGCCAAGACACCTCTTTGGACACTCTCTTATTAATATAAAATGCAAGATATGTGGTGACTTCTTTGTGACTCATTATGAAGATGTAGAATGAATTAGTAATTTAGTTCAATAACTTGAAATAAAAAATTTTATATCATATTGCTCCTGTGTGGGACAAGTGAAAGTTTCTCATATAAAAGGAAGCTATGCTCCAAAAATGTAGTAAGGCTTTAGCACGACCTGGGCCTAAGTTACACTTTCCTGTAAATCTTATGTTTTGGGGGAAATAAAGTCCTACACCAGCTGCCCACCCCCTCCCTTGTTTTGTAACCACTAACCCAGCCTTATCTTTGCCACATTAGGCAATCTGCTAGCTTCCAAGCTTGTTTTGGATAAAATGTATCTCTTAGTTCTGGGGTAAAGTTGCTTGTCTCTTACCTCAGCCAATGGGGATAAAGAGATTCAGGTAAACAAGTGGGGGGTTTTCTTAGAGTTGTTTGTCTAAAGGTATATAACGGCTTGTTTGCTGCTTACATCCTGTCTCCCTACTCCAGTCCGCCCTGGGTAGGTGATGCCTAATTCTTGCGCGAGACTTGCTAGAATAAAACTTATGTTTCTACTGAGAGAAACCTCTGAATTTTTACTTGGGTAGGTGGTCTCAATCCCACTCATTCCTGACAGCAACAAAAATCCTTTAAAGAAGTTTAGAATGTGTACAAAATTGAAATAAGTCTGGCAATTCAATTTTAAGGCTTAATCTTTAACACAAGGTATTATGCATGCCACTTAACAAGGATAATGGCAGGTTTTTTAGTATTACAGTTTGTCTGTTGTGCATAAATGGGTTCTAGTTCCACATTTCATATACAAATCAATTATATGGAATTCAGACCTGATCTCAGAAACAGTGGGATTCAAAGTTGTCATGTTCTCATTGTTTTTGTTCAATTGTGTCTGACTCCTCATGATCCTGTATGGGGTTTTTCTTGGCAAAGATACTGGAGTGGTTTGCTATTTCCTTCTCCAATGGATTAGGCAAACACAGGTTAAGTGATTTGCCTAGGGTCACACAGATAACCAAGTGTCAGAGGTTGGATTTGAACTCATGTCTTTCTGACTCTAAGCTCACACTTTATCCACTGAATCACCTAGCTTCTCTATGTTCTCATACTAGTTTAGTAAAACCTCTACACCCCACATGTGGTTGAAGTATAGCACTGCAGAAATAATAGTATGGAACTTAATGTATGTCAGTATCAATGCTTCTGTGGGAAGACACATTCACAGTTCCAACTCAGTATCCTGTTCACCGAACCCTAAAAATATGTTTTATAGAGTTACGATTCCCCTTTCTCCAAGCCACTGCTAATTGCATGGTCTAGAGCAGGAATTAAAAGAGCAGAAGATAGAGATGAAGGGCAGGAATAAGATCTCAGAAGATTCCTTTCTTCTCTTTCTGAGTCTAGGCATTGATTTGCTTGTTTCCTTTTCAACTAATTGGGTTCCCTCCTGCACTTCTTTTCCCCTCTTCCTTTTTTTCACTTCCATCAATCAAGAAATATTTACTAAGCACTTAACTTGTGGAAGGCACTCCACTGGCAACAAAATGAAAATGTAACCTCCACTTCTTTGAATCCCAAGTTTCATCTAAAGTTTAGTAATTTTCTATGTTTATTAAGGCTACCACTGCTCTTCCAGACATTCTGGTCTGTGAATTAGAGGTTGCCTCTATCCTTAGCTCTCCTTCGCACCACGTATCTAATGAATTGTCAAATCTTATCATTCTATTTCCACAATATCTGTCATATTCATCTCCTCTCTACTACACTGCTACCACTCTAGTTTAGTCTCTCATAACCTCTTGCCTGGATTACTGCCAACTGGTCTCCCTCCCTCAATTTTCTCCCCTTCACTATCTATCCTCCACTTGGTTGCTCAAGTGATTCCCCCAAAGCACACATCTGACCATGCCATTCAATAAACTCCCATAGCTCCCTATTACCTCTAGAATTAAATAAAAATTCTTCTATTGGTATTTAAAACCCTTTGTAACAGGGCTGAAACCATCTTTCCAGCCTTATGATACATTATTATTTTCTACTTTTTGGTCCAGGCAAACTGGACCTTTTGTTACTCTTCACAAATGGCATTCCATTTCGAGCTTCTGTGCCCCGGTATAGGCTATCTTCGCCTTCTAGAATGTAACCTCTACCTCTTAGAATCACAAGTTTCATTCACAGCTTACTTAAAATGCCACCTCCTATCCTTCCAATTGCTGGTGTTTTCTCACACTAAATTATATTTATTTTATAAATATTTGCTATGTACTTATTCTACGCATATTTTTGTTTGTACATATTATCTCCTTCTATAGAATGTGATCTCCTTGAATGTAGAGTATTTTATTTTTATATTTACATCCCCAGTGCCTAGCAGAGTACCTGGAATATTGATCATTAATTAATTTTGACAAATTAATTTTCAGTAGCAATTATGGAAAAAAAACTTGTTGGTCCAAAAGCATTTGGTTACTTGCATTACTCTAACAAAAAGGATTTAGAACCTACCAAATTCTGTTTATACAGAAATCTCTCCATATTTGGACATAGTTAGAATCTTATTAATCAAAAAGATTAAAGAAAACAAAAGGTTACCAGAAACCTCGCTGCACCAGATAATCAAGATATTAGAAATATAGAATTATATGACATATATGAAGATTACTTACTTTATCTCAAGTTGTTTAATTCTGTTTTGTGCTGTCTTAAGTCTTAACTGAAGATCATCCTTGGCACGTTCTGCAATTAAGCACCTTTGGTGCATTTCTTCTAGTTTCCTATAATCATCTTCATTTCCTCTGCCTTCTCGGTAAATCTAGATTATAAGATAACACGATTTTACAGTGGAAGGGACCTTAGAGATAATCTATTTAATGCATTTTACAAAGGAAACTGAGGACCTAAAGGTGAAGTACCTTGCCCAGCATTGCAAAAAGCAGTCAAGACTCAAACTCGGTTCCTATCAACTTCAAATCCAGTGGTCTTGACACTACACTGTTATAGAAGAAGTATGTGAAACTTATTGTAAAAGTTATACAGTATTACAGTGGTGGTTTCTGAATTTTTCAAATGAGGGTCTTTCATTAACACTAAAATAAATGAGAGACCTCATCAGGATTGGAGTTGTACTATTAGTATGCACTGATTAAAAATACATGACAAAACCTTTTATGAATTCAATATTTATAAATTAATTTGTATTTTATTAATTATAAAAATACCTACATTTGAAAATTAGTAATCATACATTTATGAGACATATTGCATATTCAGTATATGGAAGGTGCATTTGCATACTTCTTGCAATAACTCTGTGGTCTGTGGGTCAACAGAAGGAAAACCACTGAATGGCAGTACATCTCAGATGATAGGGCTTCAATCACTTACCATAGTAACAATATGGTTTTTAAAAAACCATAATTTCATTAGGGGATTATACGGCCTTTAGCTTTTTCAAGTCTTTCATTATCAGGAAAACGGAACCAATAAGCTACCTGATGTTGATTTCAGGGTGAAGGGCTCACTCTCTTTGAGATGCATTTTTAGAGATCTCACAAGGATTAAATTTAGCATATAGCTCTTGAGGAGTTGACAGGACCAAAAAAAATTTAATCACCTTGTGGCCAACATGCTGCTTTATGAGCCTGTTTACAGTTAGCTCAGGCAGTCAGTTGGATGACAAGTACAGTTCATCACCAGGCCTGTATGTGAAGCTTTTCCAGATTGGTAGGATCTGCCAAGTTTTGCCCTGGAAGATCACACTAAGAAACTATCAATGATCAGGTTAAGTTATTTTACATAGGCAAAATGGAATACCAAAGGCTGAAACTGAAGAAATTATCACTAGTGACAGGCCTATGTGCCCAAGGAAGGGAACCCTTAAATTATCCTAATATCAATATTCCAATTCTAGGTATCTAATACCATTATATTACAATATATAAACTAGTTACATATAGTGGAATGTCAGAATTAAAAATATTCAAAATTCACCTTCAAGTTCCCTTAAATTACTCAAAAAATACAGTACAGCAGCTTTAGACAGAAAGGGGCTAGGATCTTTTTAAAAGTAGGCAATTAGAAAGCAGGTGGATCTGAGATGGTTACTACGGAAACATCTAAATGTAAATTTTATTTTTCATTATACCCAGCTAAGCTAGGAGCAGGAAACTAGACTTCTAGTGAATACAAGAAAACAGATATAGGTAAAGACTTGGTCATAATAAAATTAATAATTTAGAAAAAAATACTCTTGAAAGGGTTTTATACATAAACATGATTATATTACAGGGTGTTCATACTACCATACAATAGTTTCTTCTTCCTACTTCATTGTAAGGCATGATAGGACAAAAGTGAAAGCAAACACAACAGGGATCTTTTAGGTAACCAGGAAGACTAAGAAGGCCAAGTAGGACTAAACCACTAATTAGTTCTACAAGCCTAAACAGAATGAATAGACTATGGGTATGATGAAGAGAAGATTCTAGAATCATATTCAGCATGAAATATTTACATGAAGAGGTGAGACCCACTTAGGATACTGCAGAGTCACATCTCCCAGTCTCCCATCTCATGTTTACTCTCTAGTGTATACTCACTGAGTGAAATGGTCTACAGAATTGGCTAGATTATTCAGATTTCCTCTCTCTCTCTTCCCTTTACCCCAAACCCCACACTATGCTATGCTGTTATATACTATGCTATACTACTGGGGTATAATAAAAAAAACTTACCTTAAAATGTTGTTGAAAAGACTGAATGTAATATATTCCAAATTTAGATCTGGAAGAGACCTTAAAGATAGGCAAGGCTCTAGAGTTGTTAAGTGCTTTCCTTGCCCAATGGTCACATAGGTAAGCAGAAGTAAAGCCAACATGTGAATCCAGGGCTATTTCTACTATACTATATTTTCTTCACTAATAAAAGTTAGTTAAACGTTCTTGATAGTCTTAAAGATGTCTCCTGAGCTGACAATCAAATTATCATTGAGGAAACTAAAATGATATGCCCTTGCGAAAGTACTTTTTGTTTTCCTGGTTGAGGAAAGTACAAAAGTATCCCCTGACATTAAAAATGAAATAAATTATTATTATTATTGCTCAAAGTTGTTCTTGTGCATAGATGGAATATCATGGTCATTGACAGGTTTCCTTTCAGAAATAAGACTTTTCTATACTCTAAGATCCCTTTCTCACTTGTTTCTTGAAGTTATCTTTCACTCCAAAATTGAGATAACTTTCATTTTTTCCCCTTTCTATGACTAGAGCCTGGCATAGTGTCTAGGACATAATGGGTACTTAATAAATTCTTGTTTATTGACTGATTGTTTAAAAAGGGCAAATACCCCTATAAAAATGACATTTTTATGTTCACAACAAAATGTAAAAAGGTGATTTCCAAGTCTTTTCTAACAACAGTTTTGCTTCTGCTTTTGTTTTTTTCAGAAAGGTGAGAAAATGAACGTGTGTGTAACACACACGTTGTTACACACACATTCATTTTCTCACTATGTCCTATCATGCCTCACTAATTTTCTCAGTTGAAGGCAAATATTCTTGCCTATGCCTTCATCTAACACAGACTTTTAAGACTTCATTTAAGAGCTTTATGATGAGTATTTTTATAAGAAAAGATGTTGCTTTTTAGTAAAAATAAAACGTTGCCATTTCCTGATTTTATTCCCTTAAGATTTTTACGTGGGTCTGATATTAAAGGGAGAGCCTATTTGAGTTAAACATAATAATTGAGTATTATTCTGCTGATATGGTTATAGCCATATAAGCAAATATATACTGCATATGGTTATATTCATGTATACAATGTGGCAATTTCAAAATACATAATGGAAAAAAAAGTTTCAAGATCTTGTCATATGTGACAAGAAACATAGCTTGGCTAATATTGGCTAACTAATATTGAATACAGATTTGGAATGCTTTTAAGGAAGGTGTTCATTAAGGGTTATAACTAACAGACCTTTTTGCATACACTAATGAAAGCAGATGATGACCACGGTTAGTTGCAGTTGCAGTTGTACTGTTTGTTTTTACCTTTTCCAGTTCTTCTTCCACTGCCCGCTTTTCCCTAATGGCCCGTTCAATTTGCCCCTGTTTGTCTCCACATTCCTATAAAATGAACAAATAAATATTTATGAAAATCTATTTACAAAAGAGATATGCCACTAAAAGCACTAGTTACTGTTATAAAGGACTTCCTACTCAGGGTCCAAGTGAAAGAAGGAATACCTTCAGATTCCTGTAGCTGCTCTTAATGTTAATTGTACTCACAGTGCCAAGCACTAAAACAGGCCATTTTCAGAGAAATCCCTTGCTTCAAAAGAGATTTTTCCAACAATCTACAGTGGTCAAACCAAAAGATAGAAAGTTTCTACTTTCCATAGTTTAGATTTGATTGGACAGCCTATGAATTAGTTCATACATTGTACAGATGGGTAATGAGCTGATCCAAGAACTGAACAGAGGAAATAAAGTGGGTAGCATTTACAATAATCACAAGCTACTCTCTAACACTAAATGGAATCTTTTTTTTTTTTAAAGACCAGTATTCTTTGGGTGATCCTATAAATTATGAATTATGGAATACTATTCTCTCAAAAGAATCAAAATGTGGATGACCCAGAGGGCATGAAGACCAGAAGTAAGGATCCAATATGACTTAAATGATGTAAGCAGTTTAATATCTTTAAGCCATTTTTAATAGGAAAAGGAATTTGATTAAATTATGTAAGAACAAAAGAGAATGGTTGAGCAGCTCAAGAACTAAGAATGTGACCAAAAATGTTAAAATATCTTGGGGAAAGCTTCCATTTCATTGGAAAGCTCCTGGATAGAAGATCTACAGAAGACAATGAAAAGGAATTACACAGTATGTAAAAGTGTTGTTAGACTGTAATCTTCACTGTCGAAGGAACTATCCACATGGATGAGATGAGAGATCCACTGAAGTATTTCTACATACTCTTAAGTTCATGGGAAATACAAAAAAGAAAGTTTAAGTTGTTCAATTAATTAAAGAACCCCAGTGTAATTTAGCCACATATAAAAATGCTCAACATGCTGAAAAAGGATCTACATTCCAAAATGTCAAGAATTATTTCAAAATAAAGAGTGGTAGGAGCTCTAAGTTAACAGGAGGAAAGGGACAGAAGTTTTGGGACTATAAGGAGAAAAGAAAATAGGAATCTCTTCTCACCATACTGTCTTTTCATCTGTTTTCATCAGAACTGCTTTTAAAAGATTTACCAGGGAACTGTAAAAAAACTCTTTGTGAGTCTGTGGATGTACTGAAAGCCACTAGATAGTCACATAAGTTAAAGAACTTTTAATTTAATTACTACTAATCCCTCCTCTTACTCAATCAGTTAAAATATATATAACTGAAAATGTTTCCTTAACATAAAACAGTCCTGTGTAAAAGTTTGGATTCTGTGTACTTAACAATAATCAGATTAGTCAATAAAATCCAATATTAACTAATGAGTCTAAAATGAAGAATTATAAAAGTCATCATTCTATTAGTTCCTTGCAGTTCCAATTTTTCTTAACAGTGTAACAGAATGCCTGCAGTAATAACAATAAATTTATGGAGGAAGCTGATTTGAAGATAGGCATCTGTAGTACTTAGAGATAATGTGTTGTTAATAACTTCTATTTCTTTCAATTATCTTTATTGCAAGTATATTTTATAAAATATTTTCTTGAAGCAATATAAAATGCACAAACAAATCTAATATAGCAAAATATAGCAGAAGAACAGGTAACTGTGAAACATTTTTACAGTTTCTATATTATCATTTTGTTGAGCATGCCTTGTCCCCTCTTTTTTCAGTAGTGCTCTATTCTTAGCACTATTAATCCTTGAGGAAACTAAAAGGACAGAAATACTGCCCCATGGAAGAAACTGACCTGTGTCCCTTATTGTTCAGTTCATTGCTACTCCCTAGCCACCACATGAAGTCTCCTTTCAGGGCCCATGCCCTTTCACCCCTCCAGGCATCAGCTGCACACAGGAGTTTTGATTCCCCTTTTCTTCAGGCAGGATACTGTCCACGGAAGCATACCATTCTCTCAGAAGCAGTCTTAATTCACTTCTTGTAGAGGTTTTGTAGGGGTTTTGGTTAATGTTATTTCAGACCTTTTCCTCCACAATTATGTCTTCTCTTTAGGTTCTGCTTTCATCTTTTTCATTGTGTACTTTTATAAAGAAATCTCTTAGTGGTCCCTCTGTTGTTATTTTTGTTATTGTTTCTTTTAACCCCATCGGTGCCTTTCTAGTTTTTACTTTTTTCTCTAGAGTACTTTTCCTTTAAACTCATGTCTTTTTTGCTTGCTTTATTTACCTTTCTTACGTCTCTGTAGTTTGGAGTATTTGCAAAGCAAACAATCTGCTTGGCTTTTTTTGTTTTTTGTTTGGAAGGAATGCTTCAAAAGATTCTCTTTAATTAACGATAACACATTATTCTATTACCTTATGCAGTGCCTGATGGATAGAATTTGTTGTTTTCACTTGTGTCCAACTCCTTGTGATTCTATTCTTGTCGAAGATACTGGAGTGGTTTGCCACTTCCTTCTCCAGCTCATTTTAGAGATGAGGAAACTGTGGCAAATAGGGTAAGTGACTTGCCAAGGATCACAGAATTAGTAAGTGTCTGAGGCCAGATTTGAACTCAGAAAGATTACTACCACTCTATCCATTGTGCCATTTAGTTGCACTGGGTATAGAACAGTCTTTTAATTCAAATTTCCTTTCCTTTCCACCTGGAGGTCTTTATACTGGGTGCTTACAGATGTGTCATCTCTCATTGGAACTGTTAAATTTAACAACTATGTTTTATGGTGTTTACCACACAGTTTTCCCTTCCAGTCGGCTTCTCCTCCCACCTCACCCCCCAACCAGAAACCCTTGATTCTTTCCATTGGCACTTTGTTTTATATGTTCAGAAGTTCTTGGCAACATTTGGTTTTGTTTTGGTATTATTTCTTGTATTATGGTCAACTTTGACTTGTATTCTTCTGGAAGACCTATGATCCTTCAGTTTCCTCTACAAATCCTATCTTTTTGAGATCAATGTTTTTCTTGTATAGAGATCTTGTGGGGTTTTTTTAAAATGTATTTCTGCTCCTATTCTAGATTGTTCTTCACTTCTGTGTATTTGTATTGTTAATCAGTCATTCTTCTTTGTTTCTTTGCACTAGTCACCACTGTGAATAGGAGTGGGTAAAGGGAAGAGTACAATTTAGTTGTTTCCACAGAATGATGAAAAGAAGACAAGGACAGGGTTTGTTGACAGAGATGGCTGCAGCAGCAAGGAAACATTAATGGTTTCTAGAGGAGAAATTCAGGGCTCTTTTTGTTCAGTTTGTTTGGGCCCTGACTGGCTCAGAATAAATGTAAATAACAATTATTTCTGTTTTGGCCTTAAAACCAGAGTGTCTTCCCCACCTAGATCTTTTTTTTTTGCCTTATTTCTTATTAAGTCTTAATTTAATGAATGGGCACATGGGCACTGCCTCAGTCAAACTGAGACCTATTAAAGGTTTTAGCTTGAAAAGGCCAAGGTCCCCCACTATATCCTGGGACATCTCCAGTTGTCCTGATCCATATCTGGTCACTAGATCCAGATAGCTAAGGAGGAGAAAGTGAGGCTGGTGACTTTGCATAGCCCTCCATTCAATAAATCCAATTCACGTGAATGTCCTATAATCACCTCCCTGATGTCAAAGTCCTCTTTCAGAACTAAGGACAAACAGCAAGGCTGGTGGAGAAGAGGGTGCTGAGTGAGCATGTTAGAGACTAGGGATTAGTCTTCTGTACTATTAATTCATTAGGCTGTTGTTACCGCATTAGGAGTCTTGGTGTCTTTGACCATGGAGACAGCTGCAATTACCTTACCTGTTGCACATAATTATTATCTTGAGAAGTTTTGAGAGTTGAGGAGGTTTGGAGAAAATTCTAGTCCATCTTTTTGGTCACATAATATCCAAATCAGAAAGATCACTTTCAACTAGGTAGCAGCATGGAGGGGTGAAAGAATCAGGGCACACTTAATGAAGTACGTTAAAAATATGAGAAGCTGCCTGCATGAATGCACAGCCATTACTAGAAAAGTATGAGAAAAAAATCAGGAAAAATCTGGAAGTTCAGTATGGCTAGAATTGATAGTATATGAGGAACGTAATATGAAATAAGGCTATAAAAAATACACACATTAGAAGTATCCTGTGACCCTGCAGTACCCCCTTCCACTGGCTAGATCCTCCCAGAACCTCCATTATAAAACAAAAAAGATAGTTTTTCTCCAATTACATGTAAAGACAATTTTAAATATTCATTTTTTTTTTAATTTTGAGTTCCAAATTTTCTCCCTCCCTCAGTCTTCTTCCCCCTCCCTAAGATGGCCAGTAATTTGATATAAGTTACACATGTGCAATTATGCAAAACATATTTCGGTATTAATCAGATTGTGAAAGAAGACACACAGCAAAAAAAAAAAAGATGAAAAAATAAAGCAAGCAAAAAATAGTATGCTTCAATCTGCATTCAGACTCCATCAGTTCTTTCTCTGGAGGTAGACAGCATTTTTCATCATGAGTTCTTTGGAATTGTCTTGGATCACCATATTGCTGAGAATAGCTAAGTCATTCACAGTTGATCATTGTACATTATTATTCCTGTGTACAGTATCAGAGGAATGAAACTCTGACAGACAAGGTTTCTGGACAATTAATAATCAATTTATTAATCAGGAAAGCTGGCAATTAAATTGATGGTGTTTTCACTTAGTAACCAAAGACTCCAAGGGAGATCTTGTAACACCTTAAATCAGGGAGCTCCTCTGACAAGTGAAACTCAATCCTGATTGGTGGACATTTATTGAGGAAGTGGGCAAAAAGTCCTCAGCAGCTCCTGCTGAATATGTGGTTTGATAATGAGACTTGGCAACCTCAAGGCATCAAGAAGAAGCCATCTCTATCTGGAACTCTCTAGCTAGTTTTCTACTTCATGAGCTGAGTTGCCATAAACTCTAATGGAGGGGACCAAGGACAGGGGATTCCTCCACAAAGCAAAGGCTTTCCAGATTGAATTCTGTTTATATTCTAAACAG